AACTGTATTTCGTTTACTAGAGATCTTAGGTTGGTTCTGCCTAAAAGTAAACTACTCTGGATTTCATGTGAGGGTGCATCTCATGGGAAACGCGGGCGAGTGACTCATCTCAAGCGTTACACAAATATCCTAGCCCTGTATGGGGAAGGTCTCCCTGGTTTAGAGCAGCACCCACAGAACGGGCCATCTCTGGTTTTATTCAACTAGGATGCAGCTGGTTTCTCACGAACAACATAGTCACCTTGTCTTCCCTTTGAATTACTTCGAAGTAGAAAAGAAAGAGAAAACAAAACAGACATGCCGTAACACAAGCGCACTTAAATCTCTGTGAATATGAAACTTAGTACATAAAATGGAAAAGCTACAAACTAGACAGTCACCATACCCACGCCATTCTTATTCAATATATCTAACGGAAATTATGTCCTGAATAAAGTTGCGATAACATTCATCTCCCACAGCAGTCCCAGTTTGGAATTTCCTTTTGCTACTAAAAGAAATTAATACAATTTTTTGTTCCAGGACACCAGCTCTGTATGAAAAACACGGGTCAGGTTTTTGTTGCGGCTGTTCAGGTATGTGGAATAACTGAAGAAACTCCTCTGTTCTTTAAAAATCCCCACCCTGATCCCACACGTTAAAAGCACCACAGCAGAAAACATTCATCCATAATGTAGCCTAACAGAAATTTGATTTGCATGTTTTTAGAATTACAATGAGAACCCCAAAATCATGCCAACTTCTGACAGTAGTTGTAAAAAACAGCTACCACTGTACCATAGTAGGATTAACACCTACAAGTACCTACAAGAAGGGCCGGAGGAGGATCCGGGGAACTACAGGCCTGTCAGCCTGACCTCGGTGCTGGGGAAGGTTATGGAGCAGATCATCCTGAGTGCCATCACGCAGCACATGCGGGACAACCAGGGGATCAGGCCCAGTCAGCAGGGGTTCATGAAGGGCAGGTCCTGCTTCACTAACCTGGTCTCCTTCTATCACAAGGCGACCTGCTATGTGGATGAGGGAAAGGCTGTAGATGTTGTCTACCTGGACTTCAGTAGCGCCTTTGACACCGTTTCCCACAGCATTCTCCTGGAGAAACTGGCTGCTCATGGCTTGGATGTGCGTACTCCTCGCTGGGTGAAAAACGGGCTGGATGGCCGGGCCCAAAGAGTTGTGGTGAACGGAGTTAAATCCAGTTGGTGGCCAGTCACAAGTGGTGTTCCCCAGGGCTCAGTACTGGGGCCAGTTCTGTTTAATACCTTTATTAAGGATCGGGATGAGGGGATCGAGTGCACCCTCAGTAAGTTTGCAGATGACACCAAGTTGGGTGGGAGTGTTGATCTGCTGGAGGG